ATTAACCAAATTTAGGTAGTTTTAAGACTGAATATATTTATAGGTGTTCCTTAATGTTTTCTCAGCTCCCTTGACGGGTCACTCTCTATTACATGACTCTCAAGCCATGTACCCATCTAGTAACTGTGGTGTATGCCACACCACAGCTCCCTTGGGAGAGTGACGGGTCACTCTCATGTAACCCGTCAACTAGGGTGTTCTGGGTTACGAACAAAGTGTAATAATAATGCATGTAAAATATACATATCGCAGTGTTAAGCGGCGTAATCTCAACATACACTCGTCATTACTGCTTGTTGATCCTTGGCATTGGATTAGTCTTGACATTAGCTGCCTCGCGTATAAACGCAAATTTTTTGGTTTTGAGTGCCTTTGTCAGCATTTCTGCAAGCTGACGCTTCGTGTCGATCTAATTGATCGCCAAACTTCTTTCTCGCACATTCTCGCGGATAAATTGCTGCTTTATGTTCACGTGCCTCGTTCAAGCATGCTATCCGGCGTCGTTGGCTAATCTGATCGCTTCTCGTGTAATCTTCCCAAACTTGTGATCCTTCTTCTTGCTCGCGACTCTTATCTTTAGGCATCGCACGCATCCAGAGAACTTCGTGAGCTCAACGGCTGACAGCTATAAATTCAACCTCCACTGAGCTGGTGTATTGACTTGAACACCAATAGCGTGCCTGCTTCTCAAACGTCTGTCATCGGTATCGCTGCCCACTTAGCATCTGAATGTGCCTGTAACTGGGTTACACGTACCTTGGTATGAAAGGGTGGATCACACAAGATGATGTGGCCATACAAAGGTCTGAATTATACAAGTGGGTGTAATCATGCAATGGTGTGGCTACACCGTAAGGGACTGCCAGTAGTTATGCATACTAATCAGGTTTTACTAATTAATTAGGGAAACCTAAGGTCTTAGATATAAATAAAGCGTCAATTTTGAACGTAAGGGTATATTTGCCTTGGATAAAGTATTGGGGTACTCATGGAGGTAGCGGATTGCGATCCGCTACACTCGTACAGGTTCTGGTATAGAACGTAAGGTCGGTGACCTAAGCTTAGCTTCCTCTTAGCAAAGAGCTACGGCAACCCCGCCGCACTAGGTAGCACTCGTAGTCTGTCTACGCCTGAGTTGTTACGACTGATCCTCTGAGAGGATAAAGGAATACTCCTTCTTGCCTTAGGGCATACAGGACGGGCTTAATAAGCTGATGTCCCCGCTATGCCCTGAGGGCGTAGGGCACCTAGTTGCGCAAGGGCCCGAGGCCATAACGCGTGCCTTGAGGCGTTTTCGTGGTGTAAAAACGCTCTGCTAAAGCACCTACAGCAGAAGCTGTCGGCGTCAATAACGTCCATGACGGCACCGTCGACGACGGATGACTCCTTCCGACGCAGGCTGATCATGGTGAGCGTTAAGACCTTCGAGAGTATCGATTGAGAGAATCTCCTGTCTTTGGTGAGAGAGGCAACAGCAAGTGGAGCTAGCTAGCTCCAAGCTCAGAGGCCGATCACGAGAATGAGCACTCACGTGCGGTACTTTGGTTTGCACGGCGTCCTTCTCCTGAAAGCAGCTGCAGCCACAGTTTTTGCTAGGGTTCTCGCCGCTTAACCAGCCATATCGCGTGCGATCGCGTTTCCTTGCCGCTCGACAGGGCAAGAAGGAATTGGAAGACTTTGTTCAGAAGTTGCGAACTTTCCTTGCCGGCATGGCAGCCGATCCTCTCCCCAAGGCGGTCACAGTGCCCATCCTTATGGAGGGCCTTCGCACTAGCGTGGCCAAATGAAAGTCTTTCGTGTGCATCCGTCTTCTTATGAAGAAGCGATAAATGTGGTATTATATGCCGAATCCAACTTTTAGTCGGCACAACTTGGTTGGGATGCACACCGTCAGAGATCGTCGAGCGGGCCTGAACCAATGGATATTAGCTACGCTGAGTAAGAGGAGGGAGAGCTCCGAGCTGCCCTGCAGCGTTTAAATACCCGACGGTGTTTTGTCTGTGGAGACACCCGTTACCTTCGGACTGGTTGTCCCCTGCGCAAGGCTCGTAAAGGTTCATCAAATCGACGTCGACTTCCCGCTTTTAACCAGTCTGGTTTGTCGCGGAAAAACGAGAAAACCCAGTAGGCGCACGGCCCAGCCTCGAAGAGCTCCGTGCTCTTGAACACGGAAAGTGTATGCAAGCCGGGCTTGCTGGTAGTAAAAGCGACCGTGAAGGGCTCTGAGAAGCCATGGAAGATCCTTATCGATTACGGGCGTCGGGTAATTATGCTCGACGCTCCACGATCGAAGGAAGTCAGCTGTATCCTGAAGCCCTGAAAGCGCATTTGAGTGACACCGTCACTGTTCGCCTGGCGACGGCGACTTGTGTCACAGTGCTGAGGGTCCCTGTGGTCTCAATGTCAAGTTTCTTGACTTTGATAATACACTGCTTAGTCTTAGAATTAGATGCAAGGTATGACCTTATCCTTGGTATGGCATGGTTGAATCACCATGAGCCTTGGATCCATTGCAGGTCGAAGACCTTAGTCGCTACTCCTGGTGGAGCTTTGGTGATTCATAGACC